CCTCTACCTCCCAAGTGCTGGGATTAAAGGCATGCACCACCACACCTGGCCACTATATTTCTTATGCTTTTTAAAAACTATATACACAGTTGGGGATGTTACTTAGTGGTGAAGCACCTGCCTAGCGTGTGCAAAGCCCTGCACTGTGTTCAATCCCCAGAACCACAAACAAAAAGTCCCCCTCCCGCCGCATTTTTTGTTGGTGTTGCTGTTGTTTGAGACTGCATCTTGCTATACAGACCAGAGTGGCCTCAAACTAGAGATTCTCCTGCTTCAGCTCCCAAGTACTTGGGATTCTGAGCATGCAGTACCCATGGCTAGCTCCTATGTATTTTCTAATACATGGGGGAACACTGGGCATTCATTACTTTCAGAATTGGGAAATTTTTTTTTCAAGTCGTAGTAAGCAGGACTAACAGGATGAAGATTATGATGCCATCACTAGCTAAGAAGGGAACTGTCTAAAGAAAGACAAGTATGCCCAACATTTACCTAATGTGAACCACAACTCAAAATCCCCAAGACAAGAGCCAGGGCCTGCCAAATTCTAAGGACTCCTTGAAGCATATACATTCACATCTCAGTGTTATAATTTGTATCACTGACATGATTTTTAAAATTTAGATACAAGATTTCACGCTTCACTGAGACTGCTCAAGATGTGCTAGGCTGAACGATCAACACTGAGAAAGCTGGCTGCTCAGTGACTACAATTTTTTCCAAATACTGTTCAGCCTTAGTTCATTTTCTCTTCTAGCTGCTCCTATGCATTTCTCTATGTGTCACTGAGAAGGAGACTGAATGACAGAACCAAAAGTAAAAGAAGCAATCTTTGAAAGTACAATTGCCTCAGATCCATAGGTTCTGCATCTGTGCGTTCAACCACCTATAGACATAGTTAGGCTTATGATGATTATGGTACATTGTAACTATTTACACAGCATTTACACTGAACTGGGTACTATAGAGAGGAGTTATGCAAATAGGTGAGGAACTTTATCTGAGGGTCTTGAGTATCCAAAGATTTTGTTGCCTATGGAGGTTCATTCACCCATGATCCTGAGGAATGACTGTAGTGAGGAGCCCCTTCTGAGAGAGGACAACATTGCCCACTTCTGTCTTGCATTTGTACCACATCTTCCCATCCTGGCCCCATGTAATTGATGCTTTCTTATCAATCTCCAAATCAGACAGAACTGGATGTAAGGATCTCATATACTTACTTAGATTGGTTGACATCAATAAGGGAACCAATTTTTGATGTTGTGAAAGAAATGTGTTCATCTCCAATAACAATTTCAAGCTCCTAGAAAGATTTAAAAAAAAAAAAAGAAAATCAAAGGCAGAATTAGATTATTTGTCAGGCACACAGGACAAGGACTCATTACTTGCCAAATCATCCAAACTCGACTACACATGGTCAAGTAAGCCAGGGCAGTTAACTCTTAAACACTGAAGTGTGCTGAGCACTAGAGACAGACAACACTGGTTTAACACCTGCAAGGCTCATCTCCTAAGAGGAAGTCGTGTACTAAAGGCTCAGTAAAGACTTCTGAGATTCATAAGAATTTACTAACTTTGTATGTGTTCTCATTGTTAACAATGTGGAGCACCACTGTCAAAGAACCTTTTTTGGGCTACATGGGATAAGTATTCTAGATCTTAGGTTTGCTGTCCCCTTGTCACTAGTTATATGACCTTAGGTTTAATTTCTCAATAGTAACACAATTACCATAAACCTTCAAAATATCTATGAGGGTGAATGCTAAGCCAAGTGGAAAGAATACACTCCAGTTTTTGGAGATAATGAAGGGAACGGGAGATGGGCATAAACGTTGTAGTATTTCTTTTATGAAGTAAATGTGTCTAGTTGTTTTATTGCCTGGAATACAGAATGGTAATTTTCAACTACAAAGCTTTCAAGAATTTGCAGCTGACCTGGTCCTTGTACCCTTGTGAACTAATTCCTCATCCTTGCTCTTTTGGATGTACCTGACTGTCTTGAAAAAGGGTTTCCAAATTACAGATTTTAAGGTGTGGCCAGATGCCCAGATGTGCAGATGCAGGTCCCATGACCCTCCCAGCCCTTCCTTCACTTAACTCTGAAGATGTCATGTATCTGGCTTGCAGGACAGTCGGAGAGCTCATGTCTATAACTGGGTCCATAAGCATTGCACTAGCCTATGGGAATCTGTAGTGTTTCTTTTGAAAAAGAAAAGGGGCCCCCAAGATGGCTCTAAAGGCCTATATGGTTGCTTATGTTTCAATTTTATTTTTTTGCCATTTTCTTGCTGAAGTAAACTTCACTTCCCAACCTTTGTTACTATAAACAATATGGCAAGATTCTAGGACTGGGGGCTGAGCTGATAACAGAACATTTGTACTAGTCTGAGGGTTAGTATTTTCCACTCTGCCAGACACTACCCAAACTGTTCTCTAATGTAGTTGTACTCATATTTATTTTCACTAGTAGTATGCGAACTCTTTTTCTCATATCCCCTTGAGAACTTGGGTGAGGCTTAAAAAAAAAAAAAAAAAAACAGCAAAAATGTGGTCTTTTTGTGGCCTTGATCTCAGAGATCCACCTGCCTCCTAAGTGCAGGAATTAAAGGTGTGTGCCACCATGTCAGGCTTAGGATGGGGCCTTTTTAAAAAATTGCTATTTATTATGCTATCGAGTCTGAAATGTATCTCATTGTTGTTCTAGTTTTCACATTTTACAAAGATATCTGTAAATCTTTTCCTGTTTATTGATCACTTATCTGAGCCTATAAATTGCCTACTTATAATAACCTTTGCATATTTTGCCACTGAATTTTTTTTTACTGTGGCTTATGTTTCTATTTTGATGTCCTTTGTCAAAGACATTTTAAATTTAATGAGGTCAAATTTACAAATCTTTTTCTTAAAGGAATTTTTAAAACTTATCTGTGTACATTGTTTCCTCAGCATATGTGATGGGACCTCTCTCAAATAAGGACCCATAACCTACTATGGATCAGGCTAGGTCAAAGAATTTTTTTTATAGATGATCAGATTTTCTTTGATCCATCTCAGGGAAGAGAAAAAAAATTTAGTGGTATAAAGGATTGAACCTTGAGCCTTCTACATTTGAGGCAAGTTGTCACTGAGCTACAGAGCTCTATCTTCAGCTTTTTAGTTCAAGACAGGGTTTTACTAAGTGGCCCAGGCTGCCCTCAAACCTATTATATAGCCCAGGGAAGCCTTGAATTTGTGATCCTCCTGCCTCAGTGTCCCAAGTAACTGGGATTACAGGTGTGTATCACCTTACCTAGCCTAATTTTTGGTTTACAATTTTTTGTGTGGGGGGATCAAACTCGGGACCTTGCACATGCAAAGCAAGTGCTTTACCATTGGCTATACTCCTAGCCCCAAGAAACTGTAATTTCTTTTTTTACATTTACTTGTCTCAAAAAAAAAAAAAAAGAGGGTTTCTTAGATGAGATGGACAGACAACACTGAGGAAGTGACAGCTGAAGATCTCAATAATAGTCTTGTAGCATTAATGGAAGACAGACAGAATACGGCAAGATTTGTGGCAAGATTTAGGGGTTAGTCATCGCCCAAAGAATAAGCCTGGGTGTGTTGGACAGAAATGAAGATCTACTATCGTGGAGTCTGAATGCAGTGAGAGGCTACAAGTGACAAAGATAAGGCAGAAAGTTGGAGTGTGAAGTGCACTGAGAAGTCACTGGAGTTTAAAATCAGTGGTAGCCATAAACAAATTTATAGTTTAAAAGATCCCACCGGCTTTTAGTATAGAAACAGTTGTACAGGACAAGAGGAGAAATAAGAAATCAGAAGTCTGGATTAGTAATCAAGATAGTAATCAAAGTGCAATTATCTTTTATGTTTTAGTTAGTAAAATGGTCTTCAAGATGGTAAGCAAAAAATTTAAATAAATATAACTTTTATCTTTGTATCCTCCCCAATGCTTTGTACTAAGTAGTTACTCAGGAAAGTAAGGTGTGGTCAGCAAAGGCTTTGGTGGGGGTGGGGAGGTGTCACAAGAAGAAATTTAGGCCAAGGTACTCCTAGTCTGCTTCATGCAGAATTCAATCTCTCTCCCTCTCTCCCTCCCTCCCTCCTTCCTTCCCATGTTCTCATTCTCTCCCTGTCTCTCTCTCTCATGCGCTCGCAGGCACTCACTCTCTCACTCTCTCCCTGAGAGTCAATGTTGTGAAGAGAAATAAACCTCATCTTTGCAAGTACTAGTCAACAAAACACTTACTTGCCGGCCTACTCTATCAGGAGGGGGCCACAAAGCATCATCTTCTTTGGTGATTTCACTGTCATCAATAATTCTCTTTAATTCTTCCATCACACTTTTATGTACATAAGCCTGAAATCACATTTTAAAACATGTTGTCACTCTCAGCAGCACTCAGAAAGTGACAGAAGAATGACTGCTCCTGAAGACCTATTTCTAGCACCTCTGTAAATAGGAAGACACTCACGCCTTACCTCAGCCTGCTGAAGAGGAGGGTCATGGCCAGAAGTTCGCTAGCTAGCTGTTACTGTCTATCCTCCCCTTTCCCTTTCACACGCAAATTCGATGCTCTCTTTATTGAGTGCAATGTGCTAAAAATATATTTTAATTCCATGATAGCACTTAAGAGTTAGGGGATAGGTTTATTTTCCTGCAGATGAAGAAATATAGACCAAGTTCAGCCAGGAAACTTGTCTGAGGTCACATGATTAGTAAGGAGTATATTGAGGGTTTAAACCAAAACATGCTAGACTTCAAATAACTACTGGTAATTGAGTCAGCACTGTAAAAGAAAATACAAACTAAAAATGAGAAATAATCTAGCTGTTTAGAGGTATGTGCTTATCCCCTAGTCTTTATCTTTCAATCTTATTACTAGAAAGAACGAAAATAATGTACGACAAAAGGCTAACTTGAAGGAAAGGATCATACCTCTTTTCGAATCATGACATCATTTTTATAATTACTGTTGTTGGCATATCTCAATTTCCCTGTGAGAAGCAAAAAAAAACAAAGTAATGTAAAACAAAAACTTGAACAACGCATCATTAGTCTACCAACACTATCAGCTCTGCCTAAATTGTATCCTATTCTTCAAACAATCTAATAGTTGTAGTTCTTATGCCATTGGTGGTTTTTGGTCTTTTTTTTATTTAATGTGTATGTGTGTATTGCCTTCATGTAGGTAAGTGCACCTGTGTCATGCAATGCCCGAGGACAGAAGAGGCTGTCGGATCCCCTGGAACTGGAGTTACTGACAGTTGTTAGCTGCCATGTGGGTGCTGGGATTCGAACCTGGGTCTTCAGCAAGAACAGTGTTCTTAACTGCTGAGCCATCTCTCCAGCCCCTAAATGTGTAACCCAGGCTGGCCTCGAACTCCAGATCCTCCTGCCTCTGCCTCTTCAGCATATCCTACTGGCGTGTGCTACCACTATCTGGCGCCCTTGGTGTTTCAATACTAGTCTTTACAGTGCTTCACTTTAAACTACTAAACTAGCTGACAATGGGAGATCAAGCAAAACGCAACTGTGGTGTGGTAAAAGAACACAGGCAGGCCCTTTTGTGACTTTGGCAAATCATATTTCCACAGGTTAATGTCCTCAGCTGGAAAAGGGGATTCTAATTATGTGCACAAAGGATGTGCTGATACTCACCTGGATTGTGAAGATTTGACAACTATAGGATAACACACATACACACACAGAGTATCTATTTCTGTGTGATTTTAAATTTAGCATTTATAGTTCATAAGGCCTTTAGTGCATGTGTACAACCACCAGGCTAGTTTGGGCATATGGAGGGGCGAAGAAGATAAAAATAGAAGGTATGATTTTTCCACTGCAGAAGACACTTGTGAAAAGAGCCAAATAATTTATTCTAACAGTTTTTGCACTATTTCTCTGCCTCAAATCTCTTCCTTTTTGGTGAATTTTTTATTTAAAGGTCAAGGAAATGTAGAAACCAGTCTATGCAATTACTTACTCTGATACTCTGATACTGTCAATAGCTTTCCTCTGCCTTCCTGACAAAATTCCAACTCCTTAACATGGCATACAGCTGAGTTCCAGCTGCTTTCCATCCACACTCCTACGACATTCTACTCACACAGCTGGAATCAAACTACTTTGTTTTTGCCTGAAACATCCCACACACGCTTTAGCTTTCAGTCTCTGTGAATACAGTCCAAAACACCACATCTTTCCTTGATCCCTTAATCAACTCCTACTTTACTGTACACTCCCCTACACACACACTTCTGCCCCAGCTCAATTTATACAGGAAGCTTCCTCTGACCCTCAGCCTAGATTTAGGGCTTCTTTCCCAAGTTTCCTCTTTCTACCACAATACCTAATACACTTATTTTCAAGTCTATAGCCTCCTCAGTTGAGATTTGTCAGATTTATCTCTATGTCCCAATTCAGTCACAGAATCTGTTTTCTTTTTGAAACAGGGTCACCCATAGTGAGGGTCTACTCACTATGTAGACCAGGCTGGTCTTGAACTCAGAGATCTGCTAGCCTCTGCACTCAGCTGGGATTAAAAGCAGCCTGCCTCTGCCTCCCCAGTGCTGGGATTAAAGACCAGTGGGATGATGCCTGGCTCTGTTGTTTTGGTTTTTGAAACTTGGTTTGACATAGCCCAGGCTGGCCTCAAGATTATTACATGGCTAAGGATAACCTTGAAAGTTTGCTCCTCATGCTTTTACCTCCTGGGTGGCATGTGCTACCATGTCAAGTTTTATGTGGTACTGGAGATGTTTTCTAGGGTTTCATCCCTTCTAGGTAAGCACTCTACCAACTAAGTTACATCCCCTGCCCTCAATTTGCTGTCTCCAAAAGTATCCTAATCTTCTCCACTTCTACTGTCCTAGTCCCAAACAATAGCTCTTCTGTCTTGACAATCAACTTGCCTATTCAGTATCTAACAGCTTTTCCAAGAACAGATCACATCTTTTCCCTGCTTAAAACTTTCCAATTGTTTCCTGCTGCACCTATTCATGACCTATAAAATACATAGCGAGGCCCAAGCCTAACATCCTCCCTGGTCTCTCAATCCCTTATTGTCCCTCAGCCACAGCAGCCACCTGAAGCATGCCAGGCTCTTTCAGGCCCTATGGCCTTAACACTTGCAACTCCCTCTGCTGAATGCTTTTCTTCCAGCACTTCACAGGTTGGCCCCCATCTTGTCAATTAAGGCTCTGTTGAAATATCCACTCTTCAGAGAGCTCTCTAAAAGCTACCATATCTCAAAGCAGTCTATCCAGCAACTACTCCAACATTTGGGGGGGTTTTCTGATCACTTATCACTATCGAAAATCATTTTTGTTTATAGTTTCTCCCAGCACTCAAGCTCCATGACAGTTTGTCTATCTTCATTATTCCGTCCTTAGAGGGTGGAACACAGCCTGGCCTAAAATGGCACTCAACCAATCTCTGAGGAAATGTAAGCAATCTGGGTTTTCACCAAGTTGCTAAACAGATGCCCCTGCGTATGGACTGAGAGAACCAAAGAAGAGCAAAGGAAAGCGCCTTTCACAGCCCAACTACATTGGTTTGGGTCCTTTCCTTCTCTAGTTCCCCGCCGCCTGGCCCGGCCCGGCTTCCTGAGGCCCGAGACCGTTCTTACCGTCAGGTCGGAATTCGAACTCCAGGAACTCATGACCGAACTTGCCTTTGTGACCCACGTAGTAACGCAGGTAAAAGTCGCTCTCCATGGCTCTCAAGCGAAAATCAAGACCGAATCGCAGGAACAGACCACACTGCGGCGGTCTGCGCCTTAAGCTGGCGTCCCGTGGCGCGCGGAAGTGACGTCACAACAGTGTTGCCAAGAGTTATGGTTCCAGAGGCTGGAACCAGATGCCGGCCCCCCTCGCCCTGAGGCGGAGCTTGGCGGCGACGTGGCGGTGTTCCCTCCCGCAGCACCTAGACTGGCAGCGGCTGGTGGCCGCTGGTGGGCCCACCTCAGTTTAAAAGACGCTTGGAGCCGGTGTGGTGGCGCACGCCTTTAATCCCACCACTCCGGAGGCTGAGGCCGGTGAATCTCTTTGTGTTCAAGGCCAGCCTGGTCTACATAGTGAGTTACAGGCCAGCTGGGGCCACAGGGAGACCGTGTCTCAAAAAGACCAAAATAATTAATTAATCAAATGGCAGAAAGGATAAAATTCTGGGTAAGTGCCGCTGTGTTAGTTCCAGGCACTCTCCATTGTGGATTAGGGGGTGGTGTCTCTGAGCAGCTTTCTTAAGAGACAGTTAAGCCACTTTATTTTTCGACACAGCCCAGCGAGGTCACAAACTCACAAGCCTTCAGCTTTAGGGTCATGGGTGCTGGATTAAAGGCGTGCGCCACCACGCCCGGTTTATTTATTTATAGGCAGGGTCTCACTACATAGTGTAGGTGGTTCTGGAACTTTGGATCCTTCTGCCTCATCCTCCAGACTATCACCACTCATACACAGCCTCTGCCTTTCATTTCTACCTAACTTCCCGCTTCGTTGATCTCTAAGATAGGTGCTGTGAGTGGGTGATTAACTCTGGATATTGGATTCTCCAGTCATTTTACCCAGCAGTAAGATGGCTGTATGTTGGTGGAATTGTTTCACTGAAGCCTCTGAAAAATACCCAAACTTTGAGTCAAGCTTTTGGGGCCACTGCCCAAGAAGCTCATTTTAAGAGCCAAAGTTGATGTAAATTGGACTGATAATCTGATTCTTTTTCCTAGTCTTCACATTTCATCATGTCCGCTTGGAGCAGGGAGGGGGACATTTGTAGCAGAATATAGAGTGGATGTGCCAGAAGGAGAGAACATCACTGGAGATTTGGGTTGGAATCTCTTATTTAATAGCTTTTCATTATGACCTTGCGTGAACAGATTCACCATTTTAGACCTTAGTTGTCTTCTCATTAAATATGCATAATAGAGGGATGGGGAAATAGTAAGAGGATCTGAGGTTGATCTCCGGCACCCATGTGAAACGGAAAACAAAACACGTGTGGTGGCACACTTTGTAATCCCAGCACTGAAGCAGAGATAGGAGGGGACCTGGAACTTCCTTGCCAGCCAGCCTAACCTCATCATCCACTTGTTTTTTGAGAAATGATGCTCCAGGTTGACCTATGATGCACATATGCACCCATCCACTCAAACAGAAAAAGAAAATGAGCATAGCAAGGCTGGGGATGTAGCTTAGTAGTGGAGTGTTTGCTTAAAATGTGCAAGGCCCTGGGTTTGATCCCACACAAATGAGTCCTGACAGGACTATGGTAAAAATAGGAAACAATCTACCGTTGGAAATACCTTGACAATTGTAAACTGCTGTAAACATCACAAGGAATTTTTGCTACAAAACACTGGATATGTCAGGCATGGTAGTATACACTTGGGAGGCTGAGACAGGACTGACAAGAGTTTGAGGCCAGCCTGGGTTTCAGATTGAGACTTTGTCTCAAAAATCAGACCAAACCAATTAAATAAAAGCCACTGGATGAGTAGTTATAAGGGATTTGTACACAAAGCGATAACTACCAAGTTTTTAGAGATCTAACATGTATGACACATATGTATGAGGGCTGAGCCTGTCTTCAAGAGCTTATTTGAATTATCACAAGCTTGAGATAACTGAAGCATATGGAGACACTAAGAAATTGCTACAGGTTATTTTCCATGAGTGAACTTACAAAAATGATATGCAATGGGTAAATGTACACACCTGGGAATGTGACAAAGTAGAAATTTAAAGGGCATTTGACCTAATGAGGGTATAAAGTAACCCAGGTTTTGGGATATGAGGGAACATGGTACAACCGGAAGAGCATGGTTTGTGTGTCCTCAGTGCCTCACAAGAGTCAGTATTATATACTAAGCATCTATTCGTCTACTAGACACAATGTGAGGAGGCCCTTCTTTTAGATTTTGCAGTGGAGGCAATGAAGGTGCAAAGAAACAATTGCAATACAGTAATTCAATTTACCAAGAGAAGCAGTGACACTGGAAGCATGTGGGATGGCTCGTAATCCAATGAAAAGCCTAGAGAAGGCTTTTTGAAAGCAATGTTCCAGACAAAGCCTCTGAAATGTTTGGTTAGATTACAATACAGTGAGTGATAAAGTTGAGAAGGGGCAGAAGCCAAATCATGAAAGACCTTTAGAATTTCATGTTGTATCAAAGAGTTTGGGCAAACCCGAAAATATTGGGATTAAATGTAAGGGAGGCAGTTAAAAGGGCTTTAACCAGGGAAGTGGTGGTAACAATCTATTACATTAAAAAAAATCTGTGTGTGCAATGTGTGGGCACATGCATGGGATTAGAAGACAATTTGAAAGATTGAAGGATTTGGGTCTCTCCTTCCACATGGGTTCCTGGGGCCTAACTCAGGTCCTTAGGCTTGATGGAATTTTAGAAAGATCACTTTGGCTGTCATGTAAGCTAGATTGGAAAATGGAAAGACTAGAAGGAGCATAACATTTGAATAAGTAACCCATGAGGGTAGTAATATAAGATGATGATGGCCCACACTCAGGTAGTCATGATGCAAACTGAAAAATGGGTAGGCTTGAAATGGAATACCTCAATGTGAAGGGTAGGCAAAGAAGACTAAGCAGTGGCCAAAAAAGTAGGGCGAACCTGGGAATGGAGCCCAAATAAGAGTAATCCAAGAGTGGGGGCTGGAGAAATGGCTCAGCAGTTAAGAGCACTGACTGTTCTTCCAGAGGACCTGGGTTTGGGTCCAAGCACCCACACAACAGCTAACAACCATCCTTAACTCCAGTGCCAGGGGATCCAATGCCCTCTTCTGGCCTCCATGGGCATTGCATGACCCAGGTGCACTTACACACATGCAGACAAAACACCGATACACATACAATAAAATAAAATAAAAAATATTTAAGAGTATTCCAAGAGTGGCCAACAGTGTTATAGGGAGGAGAAGGCCTGGAAGTGTTTGCAAGATTTATCACAAAGGAGGGTCCTAGATGACCTTGGTAAAAGCCATCTCAGTGGTGTAAGTGGCAGGTCAGAAGCATTGGTACACAAAAATTATGGAAGCATAAAATAATCTAACCCAGCCGGGTGTGGTGGTGCGCGCCTTTAATCCCAGCGTTTGGGAGGCAGAGGCAGGTGGATCTCTGTGAATTCAAGGCCAGCCTGGTCTACAAAGTGAGTTCCAGGCCAGCTGGGGCTACGGGGAGACCCTGTCTCAAAAGACACCCCCCCCCCAAAAAAAATTATCTAACCCAGACTAAGAGACCAGAAGGAGAAGGAAGCATTGCCTAAATTGAGAACTCAAGGACAAATAGGCTGGCCAGACAGAGAAGATCTAAGCAGAGAATGCTACACATGCCGATGTTATTTAGGGCTTCTAAAAATAACTGGTTTGAGGCAGATATTTTACCCATTTCCTTATTTATAATCCTATAAAATAATCCTCAGTAGAGGTAAATAACACTGAGGATTATTTTATAGGATTATTGCTAAGATTGAAATGATTTATGTAAAACATCTGGTATACATAAGGGACTCAATTAGTGATAGTTCACCCCCATTTAAGTATCACAATGAAACAAAACAGATTTTAAAAATTAATTTAATCTCTCTAGAAACAGTGTACTGATTTTACAAATGTCCACATTTGGTTCGCAGTCCACCAAGATGATGTCAGTATAGCTAGTGAAATGTAGCACACCTCCTCCAGTCCCTCTGCCTCTGGAAGTGACGCCAGATTGCCTAGGCACTGAGTACAGAAACATGGAACTTGGAATGACAAGACAACACTATTAGTGCAACCAACAATTTACATGCCCAACTATGACATTAAATATGGTATGGGGGCAGGGGGCAACAACAGACAAGAAAATCCATTTGGATACAGTGAGTTTGCAAACCAGTACCTTAACCCCAAATTAACAGTTTATATAGAAGAAAATCCTACTTTAAAAGCCTGTGGTTTGTACAGTTTTCTCTTGCAGCTTTTGTAAAAAAAAGTATCAAAATCTTGTCTTTAAATATATATATTTATACGGGTGGCTTTTTAAAAATTACTTTTTATAGCACAAAGTGTTTGCAAATGCAGTTACTGCTGAATCTTAACTGTGCACATGGTGCAGTCTGGATGAAGCTTCCTAATTTTTTAATATTAACTGAAAATTTGAAGCTGTAATTTCCTCCACCCTTTAAGTTCTTTATATCCTGAAAACTCCCAAATACCCTAAAAATATAGTGTAAGGAGACTCTGACACTCTATCTTCATGCATTTATGGGGAAGGAAATCATTTATTCTGAAACTGCTAATATTGATGCTTGGAGAAATGGTGTGGATGGCTGGAGTGAGGAGGGCCTTTGTATTCTACAGGATAAGAACGGCGCTCTCCCATTCCATTAGCACCTGACTGTACAGTGATTTCAATCCCCTCTTCAGACTCCACCTCTACCATCTCCTTTTCTTTCTCACAGTTGAGAAAACCTAAAAGGTGCTTGACAACATGGCATGCTTCTGTGAAAATCACACTGCCCTTGTATTAGTTTTCACTAATCATATAAAAAAATCTGATTCAAATATAGGGAAATCAGTCAACATTTCCCTGTGGCCATCGGAAAGCTTGAAGCTGAATAATGTCATGTCTGCAAAGTACCATCAACACATCCCAAGTTTCCCATGATGCCTTGTTGTACATAGTAAATTACCAAAGAAATGTCTGCTTAATCAAATCGGAAATTATTTTATAGTGCTTATGTTGAACTTGTCTTTCCATCCAGCTTCATTTCTTGCCAGCTCTCCTTGAGTCTTTGATTCCAGTTATAATGAACGACATGTAGTTCCCAAAGTCCCCTGGCTGATTCATGCTTCCGTGTCTTAGCTCCATATCTCCTCTGCCAGAAGCTGCACTTCTAATGTTAAGATTTGGTTTCAGGTCACTTCTATGATGGCTCAGGTTTTCACTTCAGGCAATTTGACCTTTCTCTTTTGCTGTGCCCTGACCTGACTGTAAGTGAAATTTATATATATCCACACATATCTTCTCTGATTGATCTGGCACAAAGCTGGCACCCAGTGAATCCTTTGGGAATGCATATGTTGCAAACATAATTTTACCATAAATTTAAATCCCATTTAATTATTTTTTCTGCTTGAAGTTAGAGGTTACTTCAGTCTGTTTTGATATATGATCCTGCTCTGAAGAGTAAATAGTTTGTTTCTGGAAGGCTATTTTCTGGTAGTGCCTTGACCAGTCTACTGGAAAGACAGCCACAGGAGAGAAAGCAGGTTTGATTCTTTTTTGAGGCAGCCCAAAGCTGTCTCCTGGAGAAGGGGAGGAAAAAGACTGGGCTGGCTTTTTTAAAGTAAATATTGTTTGGCGAACTTTCTGCCCTCTTGGTTTATCACGGCACATCCTTCCAGCTCTGTAGTATGATGATTCCATGATCTCTTACTGGCTGTGGATACATATGCACAGGAGCAAAAAAGGCTGCAGAAAATTTTAACTACACCTCAGAATGAGGCTCAAAAAGCCTCCAAGAATAGGGAAGGAGAATCTGATTCCTCAGATTACTTCCTTACTGCTATAGAATATATTTCTCAACTTGCTTCTTGTAGATTGCTTCTACTGCCTCTGCTTACAAACTGTAGTTGTAACATGTTCAGGAAATATGGATGCCTCTAAGTTCATCATCTTTTGGAAATCCAAGGTTGCTGTATGTCCCTACTTTATTGTGAAGGCCAAGAGCTGACGGATGTTGAGAATCTATATATTAGCTACTGTTACTTAGTTCCCCAGGAAATTCAGTTTCTTTGGAAGCAGATTAAAGAAAAAGCTGCTGGTTTTGTGTAAATTCCGATGCTTTTCACTTTTGCCCTATTTCTTCAAAACTAATTTTACTTTCCATTCTTGAAGTAAGCGCCACAGGAGTTGGCCACCTGTTCTTAAAACTGTTTGGAATGGGTCATGTAGGTCAATTACATTTTACTCTCTGAATAAATATCTCAGGACCATCAACACATGCATACCAGAAAGAAGTTGTCAGGCATAATGCCCAAGCTTAATCAGTGACATAGAGCAAGCTCCAAAGAATAGAATGGCAGAACTCTGGACTATCTGTCTAGAAACTCAAAGGGTGTCAGGTTGGTGAGACATTCAAGCTTCATTGGGTTGGGGGAAGCTGGAGGGTGGGAACAGGGAGACAACTGCTTAAGAGTGTCAAGTTCCAGGTATGTCAAGATTAGTTATACATCCTCTGCTCTTACTTAAGCCAAATACTTCCATGTTTTACTTGTCCCTGGTTGTGTGGAGGGAATGAACTGGCAAAACAGCAGAATTAAGGAAAGACCATACTTTGGAAGAGAAAGGCAGTGGGGACTGAATTCCTTCTGGGACCCCAGAATTATGTTTTTAATGGCAAATCCCACAGACAGAAAAGAGCATTTCTCCTCATTCCCCTCAAGGCCCAGGAAAAGTAAAGGTAGTATCTATAATTAAAAAACAAATTATACATATACCCAGAGTTTTTCCTTTTATTTACAAAGTGGTAAACCAAATCCCTGTGTGGACATATACATCCAATATGCTATATTGCCAATACCATTTCCCCCAAAATATGACTTTGGGTGTGGCCACCTTTTGGGTCTTAATCTTATCTAATATGAACATATGGTGGTAAGAAACCTGCTTATTATTTTAAAATGTTTCCCCTACTTAAGGGAATGGTAGAGACTGAGGGGATGGGAGAAACATATGTGATCAAACTTATTCCAAAATCCCTGTCTTCATCCTCCACAGCATCTCAGAGGGTCAGTGCCTGAGCCAGTCCTTATCATAAACTCAGGCCAGTCTAAAAACATTTTCACTTAGCTCTGTAAGTAAGGATGAGTCTTCAGGTGTGCAGAGAAAATTTACTGAATTCAACCTGAGTTGTTACTCAAGAGCTGAACTTTAAAAGAAGGACTTACTGAGCTTTGGGTGTGCAGTCTTGAGCTCATAAGACCTTCTAGCACTATGTAAAATCTGTATACTGACCTAAGCCACAGACAAGAAAGCCCAGGTGGGCATCACGGCAGCCATGGGTAAGTTAAGGAGCTTTTTCCTGACTTACCAGGGTCTCAAAAATAGCCAAAGGTGAAAAGATCGACCTTTCCTACTACAGGTTTGCAAAGTATGGTATCTATTTACCGAGGGAAGTTTCCAAAGACATCTCTGAAAACTAGCTACCCCTCTTGTGAACTGTTTTAAAATAATCCTGTCTTTATGTATTTGAACATAAGTGTGCCCCTTCTCTACAGATTTTTTTTCTCACACAAACATACACACATAAACACACACAGAGTCTGTGTACTGGGCCAAACATACCAAAAATAAATACTCTCACTTCTCTAAATTATAGCGCTAATCTTATTTTTGAAATATGTTAATAAATAATCTAATGTGGGAGGGAGTTGAAGTGTTCTTTTTATACTTATGTTGATGGATAGCCACAAAGCATAATTATATTATTTACAAAAAAAAAAGCCAAACCCCTCAAACCTAAAAAAGCCCTCAAATCAAACATCCTCTGTAAATATAGTATTTAAATGATGAGTAAAGTTTGTACCATTGGCCCCCGTTTGGTTATGTACATCATGTTAGTCACTCAGCAGTAAGCCATTCCATGAATTCTTCATGGGTAGTGCAACAGTTAAAAAGTGTATAAAACATTATACATATAAAAACTTTCACATCCTTTGGATGTCTGCAGTTCATCATAACTTTGTGGTTACCTTTCCGCAACATAAATTTTAAAAAAGTTGTACACACACGCACACACGCATGCACGCACGCACACACACACACACACACACACACACACACAGACCCATATATAGAAACCCATTCATCCATTCATACACCAGCCAGAGAGAGTAGTGCATAGGACTGAACTCCATGAGGCACGAAGTAGGTGGTCCCATCCTCAGGGCAGTCCATCATCTTCAAGACTTACTGCCACTCGCTGGGGAAATAGATCAAAGAAATCATCATTAGATCTTAAGAGGCAATTTTTATTGAGCATCAACAAAATATGAGACAAATACTATTATTTTACACAGATTAGCTGACAATATTCAAATTTCCAATGACAAGATTTAGCATACTTATTTTAGAGATGAGAAAATGGAGGCCCAAATATATGTCTGCTCTGGATCACACAGCAAGTGGAGAAACTAAAGTTTGATCCCATGTCCATGTAAATCCAGAGATGTAGTTTGTTTTTTAACATTTTTATTATTTTTATTTTATGTGTATGAGTATATTACCTGCATGTATGTGAGTCTACCCGTGTCGTGCATTGCTGTGGAGGTCAGAAGAGGGCTTCAGATTCCCCTGGAACTGGAGTTAAGGAGGTTTGTAGCTACCACATGGGTGCTGGGAATCGAACCCGGGTCCTCTGCCAGGGCAGTTAGTGCTCTTAACCACTGAGCCATCTCTCCAGCCCTGAGATGTAGCTTTTTTCATCATTTTTGTAAAGGGCAGCAGAGATCTAAACTTTGCTCCCTCTAGGGTTTCAAGTTGGGTGAACTTAGGGTTAGGTATGTCAAATGTTACATCTTGGGCTATTAGCCCAAGGATACAAATCACAATTAGGTGAGTACTATGCTGCGCCCCTTTCAACTGATGAAACAATTAGAAGGCAATACATGTAAAAATTCAGACTCTCTCTCCATTTCAGGTCACTGGATGTTCAACTCTGTCACAAATGGCTGACCAGTGTCACAAATGGCTAATACTATCTGTTCCCCTAAGGGTTAAAATCCACCACCACCACCACCACCACCACCCCTTTTGAAACATGGTCTCCCTTTGTAGACCAGGCTGGCCTCAAACTCACAGAAATTTGCCTGCCTCTGCGTTTTGTGTGCTGGGATTAAAGGCGTGTGCCACCACACTTGACCTAAAATCCTTATACTGATGTGAAAGCTGTTTAAGTTTTCATGTCCCTGGTCTGCTAGACCCAAAGAGAGTTCTACACAAGAAAGCTCCTAAAACTTATAAATGGTATTTGATTCCTTTCCTTTCATTCTGTTTTCTTCTCTAGGATATACATCTAGCTTTCTTCGGCTGATCTTGATATAATCTTGACGCTACTGTTCCCACTTCCTGGACACCTTCCTTTGGATGGATCCTAGCTAGCTTCATTACCTTTCTCAAAGCTATGTGATTTGGGGCTAGCTTCTCTTCACTTCTTCAAGCCTTAGTTTCATCATCTGTCAAATGAGGTTAGGACCTACTTCATAGGACTGATGAGGAACCAAATGAAATAGCACATTTAGAGTTTTTGATCTGCCACCTAATATACATAGTGTCTGGAGTAGTCTAGATCAACCTAACCAGCATAACAAACATTTTCCATTTCTGGACAGTCTATATATGATAAAATGAAACTCCATTGCCTTTCAAGTTAATTTTGGGTTACTTGGAATTCTCCACAAATGCCATGGCTATGCTCCACTAACAGTGATGTTGGAGACTATCTTATTCTTGTCTAGTCACCCTCCTGTCCTCTCCAAGGCATACACCTCTAGGCCAAAGACAAGCCCCAGTAGTGATGGCAGAGCTACACACACACACACACACACACACACACAAAAGGACAGAAGAAAACTACACACACACACACACACACACACACACACACACACACACACAAAAGGACAGAAGAAAAAAGGTCGATTTCCAGAGTGGAGAGGCGTTTTTAATCTTGGCTTTGCTACTTCCTGGCTATAGTCTTAGGCAAGTTATTCAAATTCTATGAGCCTCAGTTTTCACATCTGCAAACAGGGCTAATATTAGCCCTAAATGGTAACTGTGAAGATTAAATGAGAAAAATGCATAGGAAGCACTGACAGCAATGTCTGACACATTGTAGATGTCTGCAAAATACCCCTGTACTCACTCCATTACTCTGCTTCTCTGCAACTGACAGGAGCTTGTTATTTAGACCTTAGACTCATCAGCAGTAACTCCCTCGCAGTTTCCTTCTCTAAATAATGACACTTTACAAGTACAGATTGCTTGGTAATTTACAAAGTGCTATTTGCCCTTAAACTTTCTAACCTTACGAGGCAGACAGATGGGGATTATCACTCTTATTTCACTATTGAAGGTAAGTAGACTGAGACCACAGGGCTATGGAGTGGTGGAACTGGGAGCCATCTTTGAGCAGTGTTTCTTGTACTGTGTACTTTCTGATCTCTGAAAGTTGTTAACTGTTTGTGTGGACTAGCCACAGTTAAGTATCCTCAAGGCCATCTGTAGCTCTCCCCATTTGTTCAACTTTCTTTCACATATCTCCCCTTTAGGAGCAGTTTGCTTCAGTGGCAGGTCGGTCTGCCACACATGCAGTAACCTTATTCCACATGCCATTTCCTCAGTCTCTGACTAACACAGTCTTCCTCTGCCCCAGCATCCAGCTTACATTTGCAGCCTTCCAGAACCAGAAAGCCTTGTAGGATTGGCTGTATCTGCCTAGGTTCAGGTCCTCACTCACCAGCCCCTCAGGCTCAGAGTGGCACTGCCCTACCTTGCACTTGACGACAGGCAGCTCGGAAAGAGGGTTCTTCGTGAGTTGGTGCAGCTGTGACCTTGATTCCCCCGGCAAGACAAAAAGCTCCTTGAGGGCAGGGGCTGGGTCTTCCAGGTCTCTGGTCTCCCCAAGACAGGGCTCTGCCCACAGTGGGCGATCAAAGCTGCTGATTGCCTGACAGGGGGATGGACTGGATGACCTCTGAGGTCATACTCAGCCCCCTGACTCTGCTGTACAACAATGACACCTCTTCTAAACACTTTACAATCCTTGATCCCCAACAAGCCTCTTATGCTCTAGGCCTTTGTACATTCTCCTGTCTAGAATATGATTTCCCTTCCCTACCTGAAAAATTGCTGTTAAAGTTTTTAAAACACAGCTTATCTGTTACTGTGAGGCATATGTGCCTCAGTTCCCCATTGTTGATGCTTTCATACCATTTGTTTAACAAATACGTTAGAGGCCAGCTGCATTATGCCAGGCCCAGGAGAACAGACTCATCTCACAGATCCTGCCCTCCAGGACCTCATAGTCTAGTAGACTAATCACCATGTCAAAAGTAAGTGGATTGTGGTGTGACAGCAGCAGAACGGAGAGGCCCAGGGGACTGTGGGGGAAGAAAGTAAGCCTAGGAATGCTTCCTAGAAGAATGGATTCTTGAGCTTCCACCATGACACTTAGCATCTCTAACTCCCCAACTAGCTGCTGAGGAAGCAACGCATTCCCTCATTACTTCTCAACAACTGATGTCTAACATGGTTTGGCACATACTGGCATACAGAATTTGTTGGAATTACTATATCCAAATTAAATAGCCAGTTACCATTCTAGGCCAAAGATTCTGAAAATTACTTAGCAGAAAGAAAGATATTTGGTTTCTTAACTGCCAAGGAAGAGTCTCTAGGTAAAAGGTGGTCCTGATATCTTGCTACCCCAATCACCTGCCTCAGTATGTCTGTGTTCCCCCAGAATCTAGAACAGTACCCGATATGTGTGAGGTTCATGATAAGGTTGAAGGAAGGAAGGGAGAGGAAGGCAAGATGAAAGGGAGGGAGGGAGGGAGGGAGGGA